GTGCCCAATAAGTTTCGGGGCCCCTAAGAAACGTTTCTGGGGCCCCTAGTAAACGATTTTCTGTGTCCCCTAAGTAACGTTTCAGTGGCCCTAATAAAATACGTTTCTGTGTCCCTAAGTAACGTTGTCTCGCCCCTAAGTAACGTTCTGTGTCCCTAACTCTCTCCCTCAATACAGCCAGGTCTGCCTCTCTTGAATGACTGGAGGCAAATGGAGAATTCTAAAATGGCCGCCGCCATTTATAGCTCGACCATTACACAGTGCTGGCTGGCTGGCTGCTGATTGGCTAATGCGATCACATGTCATGAATGAATGCATTATGGGTCAGCGCGCCTTGTCTGCGCGCCTTCCCAGACATCCCCGCTCCGTCGCCGCACATGTCGCCGCCATTTTAGGAGAAATTTTCCTAATATTCGAAAACGAATTCCACTTCGCCGAGTTCGATTCGCTCATCTCTAGTTCTGATAGACCATCTTCAGGGATCTTCCTCATTTCTGTAGTAGAGGTAGACAGAATGGCATCCATTGACAACCAGTCAGCACAGTCATCTTTTTTTTTCCTTACTGTCATCCTTCTTTTCCTTTGTTCAGCAGAGAATACCTGTAAACCCGACCTTATCTCAAAGATGTTGCCCTTGTTGAGGACAATTTATTCTGCTGAGACATCCAGACAGCCTTGACTGTGTTTTTAGAAGGTTCAGTGTGAAATGCTGGAAATTGAAGTAATGATGATTCCCACTGACTTTGTGTAGAGCAGCTCCCATAACACCTGTAGGATTTCTTTTAAAACACCCAGTGCAGATCTCTTTCTAGGGCATTGAGTTCTAAAGTGTCCAACCTTCCCACAGTTGCAACATCTCTTTCCAGAAGAGGGCAGTACAGCATCTGTCTCAGTTTTCTTTTGATGCTTTCTTTCTTCTGTGGCCAAAGCAAGCAGCATTTTCTGCACATCGGTATGGTATTTTTTATACCTGCCTGAGTCTCCACCACCTGCATCACTGTCTTATGCATCTCCTGGGAATAAACCACTTGAGTCCAGCAGATTTTGCATCCCAGGTTTAGATGGCACCCAACTTGTGGTCTCCCTCAACATTTTTTGACATCCGATTCAGGAGTTGACTCATTGTCATCTTTCATCTGGAAAAGGCTCTCCCACCACAGCAGGGAATGTCAGAACCACCACAGCAGGGAATGTCCTACAGGGATTAAATCCTGATTCAGGAAATCTCAAGTACCCACAATTACTTCAGGTTTTCAGTTAAAGCAAAATGGGTTCTAGGGGCTGAATTTCCCCCTTAAAACCTGTCATACCTGAACTTGATCCACCATCCTTGGGTCGATGCATTTATTTTTAGCAACAGTTGATGCATCATCTTGTCGAGATGACACATGTATTCAGACAACTTCTCCCCTGTCACAACAACTACACAATAACAGTGCCACACTTTTCTCATACCATAATTAAAACCACACAAACGTGACTTGAAATATTTTCTCCAATATAACTGGATCAGTGAAAAATACTACAAACAATATGCCAAAATCTATTTGAAATAGTTCAGTCAAACACGAATCATATTCCTATCAAATGAGAATCTTTTGCATCAATATTCCTAACTTCTTTTTTCATGTATAGTGCACCTCCACCATCAATAACACCAGCTGTGCCCTCACCTGAAATGTTTGACCTCACAACTAAGTTTGGTCAAAAATAGCTTGTATCTTCTAGGTGGACATACAGTATAATGATGGTGTAACATATATTGAAATCCTCCTTCTGTGTTGGTTCAGTTGCTTCTTGTAACTCCTTTTCCACTCAGCATGCATACAGAAAATATATAGGAAGACCAATAAGCGCTTTACTGCTTAAAAACTTTAATTTTATTAAAATATAAATAAGTACCTCATATGATACAGGTGCTCCATTGTACCTAATAATATACTCATGAATTGCATACAGCTGACACCATCTGGCAATGGGAAGCACCCTTTGTATTCCCCTCCGCAATCTCTCTCTGGAGTGGGTCAGCTGACTGCGAGTGCCATGATGTCACCAAGCCCCTCCCCTACATGTTACATCACAGGGTCATGTGGCTTCCTCAGGGGGATCTGATTGGACGTCACTCCACTCCCTTCTTCTATATAATGTAACCCATGGTCATTTTACTGTGGACCTTCCCTGCCCTCCCGCAATTACTCCCAATGACCCCCAACAGAAACTCATGGATAAACCCATATTATCAAAAAATACCCCATCTGCTGACTAATAATTCAGGGAATGTATAACCCCTAGTGCCATATACATTATACATTATTTAAAAGCCACATATTTATAAAAAACCATACAGTATTAAAAAATAATTACATTATAAACTGTTATTGTGTAGTTGTTGTTATGCAGCATATTTATATGAGTATGTGTAGGTGTGGGCGGTTTTTTGTTTTTGTTTTTCTATATTGAGCTAGTATATTCCTATTTCCATATAACTGCTTGTGGGTTTATATTTCATAGTTTCTCCCCTGTCACAGCCTAGCCTGAGTTGATGTGGCTGGGGAGCACCGCAGGCCAGGGCTACGCATTTTGGGCTTATTTCTTGCTGTGTCCTTCTAGCTAGGTTTCCCTTCATTTCCGATCTTGAAAAAACAACAGGAATTTATAAGAAATCTTGTAGAAGAGAGCAGAATTCCCAGTTCTGTTGATTTCCATCAACCAATAATGTTTTTTTTTTAATTTTCTTTACACCTGGTTGTGTATTCTTTACAGTGAAGCTAAACTCTGCAGAAAATGAGTTCAACTGCACTTGCAAAGTGCACAGTCTATTTGTCTTTAGTAAACCTGTCAGGGCTCCGGGGTGTGACCAGAGGTGTGTGACTGACGCAGGGAAACGCAGACTTCAGATATGTTATAAACAATGTAATTTATTAACACTAACCATACAAACATAAACGCAGTGCAATACTAAAACATAACACAGTGCAAACAAACCAACCAACCCCCCACAGATAACAGTACATACAAGCAAGCGTCGTCAGGCAGGCCGGGTCAATATCAGTCGGGCAGGTAGGTACAGGGGGAGCAAGCGGAGAATGGTCGGGGTCACAGGCCAGGTTCAGCAGGTAGCGGGCAGCGTGGTACAGAGGGTCAGGCAGAGGAGAATGGTCAGCAGAGAATCAGACAGGAACAGAGAGCAGGAACAGGATACAGGGCCCAAGAGAAACACAACACCAAGGCAGAGTCTGCAGGTCTGAATGTCCCTTAAATACATCAGTATAATTAGTTCCAGGTGTTTGACTGGCTGCAAGGTTGAGTCTCTGATTGCTGGGAGCACCCGCTGGCCAGCCCTGGTACTGCAGCTCATAAGGCAGGTGAGTCCCACTATTGCTGGCCAGTCCATTCCTGACAGTACCCCCCCCTCAAGGAGCGGCCTCAGGACGCTCCAAACAGTCCTAGCTGGGCAAAATGTTCCACCTCCCCGGGTCTGGTAACTGGCGGGATATCAAAGACTGGCACACCGGGCAGGACTCCGGGCAGCGGCACACCGGGCAGAGGCACATCGGGCAGGACTCCGGGCAGAGGTACATCGGGCTGGACTCCGGGCAGAGGTACATCGGGCTGGACTCCGGGCAGAGGCACATCGGGCTGGACTCCGGGCAGAGGCACATCGGGCTAGACTCCGGGCAGAGGCACATCGGGCTGGACTCCGGGCAGAGGCACATCGGGCAGAGGCACACCAGGCAGAGGCACACCGGGCAGGACTCCGGGCAGAGGCACATCAGGCAGGACTCCGGGCAGAGGCACATCGGGCAGGACTCCGGGCAGAGGCAACAGGCGGAGCGGATTACCAGGCGAAGCAGCAGGCAGCGGGCCACCAGGCGGAGCAGCAGGCACCGGGCCCCCAGGAAGAGCAGCAGGCACCGGGCCCCCAGGGAGGAGCAGCAGGCAGCGGGCCCCCGGGCGGAGCAGCAGGCACCGGGCCCCCGGGCGGGGCAACAGGCACCGGGCCCGGGCGGGGCGACCCACCGGGCGGGCGCGGCGGGCGCCGGGCCCCCAGGCGGGGCGACAGGCATCGGGCCCCCAGGTGGGGCGACCGGCATCGGGCCCCCCCCGGGCGGGTGGAGCGGCGGGTGCCCGGACCCCCCAGATGGAGCGACCGGGTCTCGGGCCCCCAGGCGGGGCGGCGGGCGCCGGACCCCCAGGCGGAGCGACAGGCTCGGGCCCCCAGGCGGGGCGGCGGGCGCCGGACCCCCAGGCGGAGCGACAGGTCTCGGGCCCCCAGGCGAGAGCACGGGCCTCAGGCCCCCAGGCGGGCACGGGCGCCGGACCCCCAGGGCGGGTCTCGGGCAACAGGCCACGGGCCCCCAGGCAGGGCGACAGGTCACCGGGCCCCAGGCGGAGCGGCGGGGCATCGGACCCCCAGGCGGGGCGACAGGTCTCGGGCCCTCAGGCGGAGCGGCGGGCGCCGGGCCCCCAGGCGGGCGACAGGTCATCGGGCCCTCAGGCGGAGCGGCGGGTGCCGGACCCCCAGATGGAGCGACAGGTCTCGGGCCCTCAGGCGGAGCGGCGGGTGCCGGACCCCCAGGTGGAGCGACAGGTCTCGGGCCCTCAGGCGGAGCGACGGGTCCGGACCCCCAGGTGGAGCGACAGGTCTCGGGCCCTCAGGCGGGGCGGCGGGCGCCGGACCCCCAGGTGGAGCGACAGGTCTCGGGCCCTCAGGCGGAGCGGAGGGCGCCGGTCACCAGGCCGACAGTGGAGCGACAGAGTCAACTGGGCCGCTGGCAGGGTCGACATTGGATCGTCTGGCTGGACGCGGGCATCGGGTCACCAGGCATCAGGTCATTTGCTCGACAGCTGGCACCGGGCGTCATCAGGCAAGGCAGTGGGCTCCGAGTCAACTGGCATGACCGGGGCACCCCCAGGTGGGCGACAGGAATCGTCTGGCTCAGACAGAGCGGGGTCATCGGGTCACCAGGCATCAGGTCATTTGGCTCGACCCCCAGGCGGGCACCGCGTCATCTGGGCAAGGCAGTGGCGGGCACCGAGTCAACCAGGCACGACAGTGGGCTCCTCAGGTCAACTGGCATGACCGCTCGACACTGGGGACATTGGATCGTCTGGTATGACAGCGGGCATGGGTCACCAGGCATCAGGTCATTTGGCTCGACAGCTGGCACCGCGTCATCTGGCAAGGCAGTGGGCTCCGAGTCAACTGGTATGACCGCGGGCACTGGGGTCAGACATTGAATCGTCTGGCTGGACAGCGGGCATCGGGTCACCAGGCATCAGGTCATTTGGCTCGACAGCGGGCACCGCGTCATCTGGCAAGGCAGTGGGCTCCGAGTCAACAGGCACGACAGTGGGCACCGGGTCAACTGGCAATAGGATCGTCAGGCTGGATTGTTCATCATGCTGGGTAGAGGCGGGCAATGCGGCGTCACCTGAGTAGAGGCGGGCAGTAGAGGCTTCAGGCCGAGGCATCAGCCGAGTCATTTGGCTAGAGGCAGCAGGCCGAGTAGAGGCTCAGGCCGAGTAGAGGCATCAGGCCGAGTAGAGGCTCCGAGTCACTGGCGATGTAGAGGGCAGGCTGGGTCAGACAGGGATCGTCTGGGGGGGGGGGGGGTTGGGGGGGGGAGGCGAGTAGAGGCATCAGGCGAGTAGAGGCATCAGGCCGAGTAGAGGCATCAGGTCAGTAGAGGCTTCAGGCCGAAGAGAGGCATCAGGCTGCGTACAGGCATCAGGCTGAGTAGAGGCATCAGGCTGAGTACAGGCATCAGGCTGAGTACAGGCATCAGGCTGAGTAGAGGCTTCAGGCTGAAGAGAGGCATCAGGCTGCGTACAGGCATCAGGCCGAGTAGAGGGATCAGGCTGCGTACAGGCATCAGGCTGAGTACAGGCATCAGGCTGAGTACAGGCATCAGGCTGAGTAGAGGCTTCAGGCTGAACCACGGAAGGCAGGTTCACCGGTTTGGATACTGGCAGGATGGTATTGGTTGGAAAGAATTTTCGCTTTTTTCTGGTTTTAACTACTGGAGCACTGCAAGTAAACGCAGGTCTGCAAACGAATGGAGAAGCTGGAGACAGAGAAGAACTGGAGGATGGAACAGGAGAGGGAGCAGTTGCTACAGAGGACTTCTTTACAGGGTTAAAGGCAGGATAGGTGCAGCGAGTGGGAACAGGGTACTGACATGCAGTAGATAGCAGGGCAGGAGGAGCTGTTGGGAATGCAGCAATAGAGTTTTGAGGAAATAGATTAGAAGCAGGACTGGGTTTTTGTAAGCTGACTGAGGCTGGGTGTAACAAATCTGTCCATGTCTGCAGTATGGGTTGAACAAAGCTGAGCTTACACAAAGCCTGTCTGACCAAAGACTGCACTGCGTTTATACAATCTCTTAGTGTCTGTGGTGAACATGTGGAATAACGCTCCAGAAAGTAACCCACATCATCCTCTAATAACCACACCAGGGACTCTACCTGGTCTGCACTAAATGGTGGCAAAAATTCATCCCTGCATTCGGGGGTACCAGATGAAACCAACTCAGCACAAACCTCAATCAAAGGCTGCACCTCAGAGAACTCTGTGCCCTGATCTACTAGAACATGAGCGAGCCGTATACATTCTAGCAGTTCATCCCGGGGATACTCCTTCAGAGTTTGATAAGCATACTCCCTGTCATCAAACACTAGCAGATATAAATACGCAACCTCATCAAGATCCATCCTTCCCATCAACAAACCAAGATGGCTTCCCTGTGCAGCCACTTCTGGTCAGGATTGGCCTTGGTGTAATGTCAGGGCTCCCGGGTATGACCAGAGGTGTGTGACTGACGCAGGGAAACGCAGACTTCAGATATGTTATAAACAATGTAATTTATTAACACTAACCATACAAACATAAACGCAGTGCAATACTAAAACATAACACAGTGCAAACAAACCAACCAACCACCCACAGATAACAGTACATACAATGCAAGCGTCGTCAGGCAGGCCGGGTCAATATCAGTCGGGCAGGTAGGTACAGGGGGAGCAAGCGGAGAATGGTCGGGGTCACAGGCCAAGTTCAGCAGGTAGCGGGCAGCGTGGTACAGAGGGTCAGGCAGAGGAGAATGGTCAGACAAGCCAGGGATCAGAGCAGGGTCAGCAGAGAATCAGACAGGAACAGAGAGCAGGAACAGGATACAGGGCCCAAGAGAAACACAACACCAAGGCAGAGTCTGCAGGTCTGAATGTCCCTTAAATACATCAGTATAATTAGTTCCAGGTGTTTGACTGGCTGCAAGGTTGAGTCTCTGATTGCTGGGAGCACCCGCTGGCCAGCCCTGGTACTGCAGCTCACAAGGCAGGTGAGTCCCACTATTGCTGGCCAGTCCATTCCTGACAAAACCCACCCCAGGGAGTCATTTGCTCCCAAATCTCCACCATTCAACAAATGTCTTGTTTTTTTCAATTAATTTGAGTTGCTCTCTGATTGTAAAAGGTGGGAATTGTGACATCATCCACTCCTCCCATCCGCTTCGTACAATCAGAGAACACCTTGTATTAATTGAAAAAAAAACAGATGGAAATGAAATCCAGCAGCTACTATATGTAACCAAGCTGGCCCATACCTTGTGCATTATAATATATTTACAAGACACTGATTTAAAAACATGGTACCTTTATCCAGGGGCGGGCTGACCATTCGAGCACTCGGGCACTGCCTGAGGGCCCGGGGTTAGTAGGGGGCCCCATGAAATGCCCCTAGTACTTTTTTATAGGCTTTTTTGGGTGTGCCTTGAGTGCGGGCAAGGACACAGGGGCCCCATGATCCCCTACTGCCCGGGGGCCCCATGAGTTGTCAGTCCGCCCCTACCTTTATCCTATGATCAATCTGCAATTTCTGCAATTTCTTATCCTAATAACAAGAAAATTACATGATTCCTGACACAGGAATTACAAGCTGATCTATGCAGAAAATATGCATTTTTCAATACTGGTATATTGTTTAAAGGAGACGTATAGCCAAAGGTCCTTTGGCTGTACTTCTCCTGTGGATCACAGGAGTGCAGTTCGTTCTGCACTCCTGTGGCGCATTTTCAGCTGATAACTGGTTGAAGCCTGCTGTCAGCTGATATCCTTCAGCCGGTCCAGCCTGGGGAAAGATCTCGACTGTAAAGTCAAGATCCACCCCGAAGTCTGGAGTAGCACCTGGCTCAGCCTCTCAGCGATCTGTTGAGAGCCTGAGCCAGCCACTCCCTGCCCCTCCACAGCCCAGCACTACATGCGGGGGGTGCAGAGCAGACAGCGTTGACTGACATCCAGCGCTCTCTGATCACAGCGGCTGTGAGTTCTCACCCTTAGAGCTGGCAGGGAACAGATATATCATTGGACTGATGCTGCACCCACCTAAGTAAGTATGATTTAAAAAAAAAAAAAAAAATACCATACTTCTCTTTTAATTACCAATTGCTTACATCTAAACCACTGCACTTACCCTGTTAAATCAGGAACATAGACATTGCCATTGCTGCCCTCTATTACAGTACATCTTGACTCTTTCCTGGCACGTGCCACCATCCTTAGCTTACTACATAGTTATCCTGTCACAAGTATGAAGGTTGGATGTTCTGATTTCATTGGCTGCGTATTTGTTTGGGGTCTATAACTTACTTAGAAGCTATACTAAGGATGAAGATGAACAATGGGCAAAAAACAAGGTGAAGAAGTCACCAGTCTTCTTGCTGAACTGACAGGTTTCTTCTAAATCTTTGCAAGACAGTGTGTATTGCTCTGAGAAAATTCATTTCAGTACCTGCTATTTATCCCTTTCCAGTCTTGTAGTTCACATATAACTGCCAAGGCCATTTCACATTGTGAGGTAATGTACAAAACGCCTTCAAGTGTTAGATCTCATACATTATTTATTGGCCCTCCACCATGTGAAATGTCCTCACCCTTATCTGCTGACCTGTGAGTACCCTTTAACAGCACATTGAATGAGCTGTGAAATTGTCTGTGTGTATTGTTCATGGGGTATGACTGAATGATGGTGAAGTGGTATGAGGTTGTTGAAGGTCTCTAT